ACCGAATAGTCTTTCCTCTGTGGGCACCAGAAAGCCTCCATTATGGGATGAGGCCATGTCTGCGGCCCCTGCAAGCCATAACGGGCCTCGGTGCTCCCTCTGCCAACAGAACACGCACCCAAATGTACCACACAGAGCAGTATAAAACAAGTGGAAAATTGAAATCTACTTAAGGTGGTCCCAGGTCAGCAGTAGAGCCGGTGGCCAAAATACACTGAAGCATACAAACTTCTCTTAGTCTTTATGGCTTTTCCATCATGCTACCTTAACTCCCGGGACTGCACTATAGAAGCTGATATTGTTAGAACTTTATTTTCTTTTGGAATTGTGGAAAGACACTGAAACGCATTTGAATCTTAAGACCTTAGAAGCGTAAAGATTGTTCCTTATGTCAATACGCAAATACATTAGTCTGGAAAACTGTACAAGATTGATTTCACTTAAGTGGTCGGACTTCTGCTAAAGCTGACTGGCCACTAATAAGCCAATAAGAAGCCATTTTCTTCAATTAACTTTATGTACACAAAAGCGTAAAACACACCAGTACCTCTGAACATCTTATGTACACATACATTTGAAAACTCAGAATAAATGGTTGCAGTTTTCAAGATGTTCAACAGACGTGCATTAACTTCGTCTACTGTTATTCTAGATGAATCCTGGTTTTAAGGGGGTTTGGTTTTGGATGAGGACTCAGACAAATGACTTCCCTGCAGGAGACACGTTCAAGTCACAAGTTGCTGTTTACTGCCAACCAGCCTAATGACTCATTAAATGCACAACTAGAGCTTTCTCTCTCAAAGCGGTTAATATGAAGCTTAAAAGTGAGCGATGTTTAGGCTGGGACACGGGCTGGGGTTTCAATTATAAAGAGTGCAGTATATTTTAGTGCAATGAAAACAGCAATGCATAATGTTGAAAATGGTGCTGTATATGTTTTTCGTGTCATAAAGTTAAATTTATTTTGCCCCAGTAGAGATATTTTCAGTGTTTCTGTTTCAACCAATTATAAAGCGTTTTATTGTCCGCAAACTGTCCACTTTTTCATCTGAACATTGTGCAAAGCGCTGTGAATAATTATGATTCTAGAAATGCCTTAGAAAAGCGAGGACTAACTCTGAACCACTGCAAACTCTTCAAAATGATCTGGTTCTAGTTTTCATGTTTATTACACAAAACATCAGGTACAAAAGTTGCAAATAAGCTATCACCAGTGATGGCTTATGTGTGTCTAAGTTTCAAAGAGTCTTGCCAAAGGACACAACAAACAGAACTAAACTACTAAACCGCTGTGGAGAATGATCAAAACATCCTTCGTGGTGGTGAATGAGCAGACATTATGGGGACCGTGCGCAGAGGCTGGTTTCAATTAGTTTTTCATTTATCACCAGGACTAAGGTTATGGCCCTGACTTGACCTGTCTCCTGTCTGGGGTTAAGATCTAATGGTAAGTGGATAAATTGTCTCCATAGATGCGCACACAATGATTACACGCTATGCCACAACAGCACAGAGTGGAATAACCGGAGAAGACGGACAATTTAGGATAAAAAAAACACTTTCTCGTTTACAAAAAGCAAAACATAAAACAGGTTGCAGCAATGGTAAAAATTAAGAGTAAAAAACGTATAACTAGTCTTGTCACGATAACAAATTTTGACGCACAATATTTTGCTACAGAGATATACTTTAAAAAATGATCATCCTGAAAGTACTTTGTGCTACTGAGGCAATAACAATAATATAAGATAATCCCTATCCCTAAGTATCATTAAAGGTATTAGATGCAACAAATAAATAACAGAATTAACCAATAATGAGGCATAAAAGTACCTCAATATTACAACTAAAATAACTAAAATCTCCCCATTATTGCAAAGAAAATGCATAGAGGACAAATATTGATCCCAGAAATATACTGTTCAATTTTTTTATATATTAAACAACAAGTCGATATAGTAATTATACTTATAGGCCTAGCTATGACCCGAAGCCTGTAACGCGAGATGCAAATGCCTCCTGCTCTGGGCGTGTCTTGCTCAAGGACACTTACTTAAAGAGGCTCTCCACTCTGCCCTCTAATCAATACCACAGCCCTGATTAATATATACGAGCGGTGCGTTTCTGACCCCCATATCTATGATCACTTATGATTTTATTTGTTTATTCCAGGCCAGGCTGTATCAAACCACTCAGCCCTTGAGACCAATGCTATTTAGATGTACTTAAGTCGGTGCAGTAGTTTTTATGATGCATCTGTTACCTCTGAGGTTTCGCTATGACTCAGGCAGAACCAAAACAGCCATTTCCATAATGCTTTTTATACTGTCACTAACTGTCCTGGACCCTGGATAGAGAGAGACTACAAGAGTGGATACTTCATGTGCTACTTCCTGATGACATAATGACAATTTGAACCTTAAATAACCCTAAACTGATACTGGAATTGGGACAAAAATATTGAATTAAGTCATGGTTCCAGGATATATCGCATAAGGTTAAGAGTAATAGAAAAGAAGAGTAATAAATGTTGAATGAAAAGTTATATGTGTTTTTTCTCCACTCTGATATTGGTTAATTGGTATTGATACTTCAAGCTGGGTGTGGTCTTCATGTATGTCTATGTCAGAATGTTCAGGAGTTACTATGGTGACATTTTTTATTTCCAAAAAAAATGAGAGCGACTAATTGGAAAAAAAACAGATCAGATTGCGGTAAAAAACTCAAATTAAAGTCTACTTTGAGTAATACCGATTCACATAGAGTAGTGCCTTCTGTTGATTGTTGTTGTTGTTGTAAAGTATAAATTGATGAGAACATTTAGCCAAAGTATACGGATACTACCTGGATATTCAACCAAAAATTGTACTTCAGTAGAACTACAGTAAGACACCATTCTCTTATACTGTCTTATAGCGGCATTAAAGCACATTTTCACGTCAAGCCTGTTGTTTACTAATGGATCATATTAGCATTATCACTTTTACTGTAGCATGACAGTCGAACCAAACCAGCCATTCCCACAGCCTTGTTCAATTACAGCCTCCTCATTTGTAAAACACATAGAGAAAGTATCGTATCTCCCTGACCTCCATCCTGTCTTTGCTGCTTATTTTATCTCGCTGTCACTCCTCCCTCCCTCTCCGCCACCACAGCAGCGCCGCCGACTCCACTACCCCAGTTCTGTTAAATGAGCAGGCTTATCGGAGCCTAATTGGTTTAAGGGCAAACAGAAATCAGCAATGACTCTGTGCAAAGTCAAAATCACTACTGCTGTTAGCTTAAATGCAGACACATACACAGCAAAGATAGGAAGATTTGCATGGCTATAACTGCGCTAGAAAAATATCAAAGTTAAAAACAAATGAGTGTATAGCTGTTCCCGTAATGATATGCAAATCTCTATTTACAATCCTATACTGTGCATATAGGATGTTTTCGATAGCATCTCTGTGCAAGGGTGTTTGGGTGTTTCCCGCTGCAACATGTTTATACAGTAAGCAAATAAGTTCGAGGACAACGCCAGCTCTCACCGAAATGGTCTGTTAGCTCAGCATCCTGACGCCGTAGCACAAAACACCTCATAGCATGTCACTGTACAGGTCATCAGCTCTGCAATGAAGTGTGGGCTGCCACTGTATGGATTTGAGAACATAACAGCCAATCTGTCATGGAACATATGAGTGAAGGTGTCGAGATGATCTAAGCACACATAGTATAAAGTTATAGTATATAAAAAACAGTACACAATGAAAGTAGACATGTAAAATAAAATATAAGGGGCTGTTCCAAAATGAGAATTACACACAACCACTGTGGCGACAGAGACTTCAGAGAAAAGTTTTTAAGTTTCGCAAAAACAGGACGCTTAAAGTGAATTTTAGATTTTCATCACAGAAACCAACACTAAATGCTGTATACTCAAACAGCTGAATAAGATCACAGACGCATAAACTCACAGTCTCCCTCTCTGGAGAAGAACAACAGACTTAACAGACAAAAATAAACAAAAAGACCACCTTTCCACAACAAATCCAAACATGAAAATATATTGTATTCTCATAACCTATAGGTCAGATTTCTGTTTCACATCTTTGGCACAATCTAGTCCCAGTCGTCCCAGCTTCTCTGCGAATGTCATTGCCCACTATGTAAACACCAGAGCCTCAAATATCCATCCACACAGACATAGCAATCTGGACCTGACTTTGATATCCTGTTGAAACCTGATGAGAACAAACAAAAAACCACTGCTGAAATACAGAGCACCAGGGGAGACAGAAATGTGTGTAAGATTACAGAGGAAAGCAATAAGAACTTTATTTGAGCTTCTAATTTATGCTGTAATAAGGGCCCGTGAGTCCAGATTGAGCCGTGTGTAATCCTATGAAGGTTTTATTGGCCAGCCAGAGCTATAACACTACAATAAAATAGAAAATGACATTTTACATCCATGATGCTGCTGGGATCTCCTGCTCTCAGCTGCCAACGTCTGAGGCTACACGCCAATGCAGGTCCCTGTGGTGCCCCAGCGGAAATGAAAAACATGTTTAACCAGGAAAGTGTGGCCACTGATGGATCCAGTGTCTTATGAGTGAGAAGGTATCAAGAATAAACACTGACTAATGTGATGGACAGACACACACCAGACCTGCTACAGTGCATTCAAACAGTCTGATTTGTTTTTCTGAAATTCAGATTATTGAAATTATAAGGGAAGGTGTAGTCCAGAGAAAATAAAAACCAAGCAGGCCTATATTATTATGTTTTAAGAAAACAGAGTTTGTCCAGCAGTCACATATTCTACACCTGAAACTAATCCTGAAAGGAAAGCCGCCTCCAGGCACAACATTCACACAAAGTTGCTTGTGGCATAGAAGAGCTCAGTGACAGCATTGAGAGTTATAAAACAGTGGTACAGTGATCCACGTGTGCGCCAAAACACCCCGAGAGAAACATTTCCAATAAGCAGCCAGCACAAGTGAGAATGAGCCGTTTACCTTCCATCGCAGAGGACGTGATGACCAGCGCGCATAAAAGCGCACACAAATCCCCCGTCATGGCAGGAGGGTGATATAGTCTCCACAGCACGGTCCCCCCAAAAACAAGTAGGAACACGCAAGGTGCGCGTAAAACAACACGAGAATCCGTCCGTTTCTCAGAGGCTAGCCCCGCGACGAAGTGAGTCCCATCTCAAGCCGTAGTAAACAATGTGTGACAGCGTGCGCGAGGGGAACAGCCGAGTGCGCCGTACCGGGGCTGAGGGGCGCGTGGAGGAGGGAGGGGGGCCTGACACACAGCCCCCCATTGCAGAGCAGGAGCCAATCAGCGAGCCCGGAGCACAAACTCACCGAGCCAATCACACCGCGCTCCGCTCCTCCCTGCTTCTCTCTCTCGCATTGTCAAAACACCAAACTTTTTCCTTGACCTATTTGAGACAGTGCCCGCTCTATAGAAGAGAAATAGCACCCCCACATGGACCAAAGCCGTCACAGCAGCAGCTCCAGTCAGCCTGTGCTTTGACTTCTTCTACTAAGGGGGTTGTCTTTCATTGATCTCTCTTCTTCAGTTATTTACTAACAACAAAATAATAGAGCCATCTCCTCAATGCCCCTGAATTGGTCAAATGGGCATTTGTTTTCACACTTGTGGAATATGACAAGAAAATAAAATTGTGTCACTAGAAATCAGAAAAAAAATATTATTATTATTATTAAGAGTAATGGAGAAAATTGTTTTGTCAATACAAGTAAGTAAATAAGTAGTCTAAATGTTAATTTCCTTTGCTGCAACACCCGAAATGAAACCATGGCTACTCATAATTTGCTCTTTCTGCTGTTCCAAAAGCATGTGTGCTGAAGAATAAAACTGTTCCCACAAATACAATAATAGCCCATCTGGAGAATAGTAGGCTTATACAAGTGAAAATATATCCATTGGAACCAACAGACCTATTGCCTGGTTCTCTGTGCCAACAAAATTCTTCTGGCAGACTCTTCACCTCAGCCATACTGATCTGAACCATGTTCCTTACACCAGGAGCAGTGTCTGGCCCTGTCACCTCTTTTGTGAGAACCATACTGCGACAGATGGCTCCCCACTTCCCAGTCCCCGGCACAGGCAGAGGTGTGCATGTTCCGCCTGGTGTAGCCCAAAACCATACACCTGTCCTGGACCCAATCCGCTCCCCTCTGGAGGTCCCTGGAGCCACAGAGAGGTACAGGGCTGTTCATCTTCAGTCTGAACGGGACTAGTTTTACCCCAGGACATGGTCTGGCCTCATACTTCAGCGCTGTCCCCTGGTCGCCTACTAGCCCAGATATTCTCATATGTACGTCACCTGTTACCAGCCTAACTCCACACAAGTTATGGAATACAAACAGAGAGATAGCTTATTGGTTATGGCAAATTAAGAATAATCATTAACGGTGTACTTTGTAACTTTTCTTTGCAGCATTAGCATTCATTTGCTCAACAATAGGCGGGTACTTTTTTATTTTACCAATCTCTGCTATTTGGTTGTGACGTATGTAATTCTTCAAAACCCTCAGGAAGAAGGGCAATAACGTCTTTCACCTTGATAAAACTCACCAAACATTCTCTTTGTTCCAGCTTTAAATGCTCGATCTCGGGAATTGTTGCCAACACAGAATGTATGGCTTCGTCTACATCCATCTTGACCGCTTTGTTTACTGTTGTGCTGTACCACAAAAGGGACCCAGACAGGCAGTTGAGTTTGATGTCATGGCTTCAAAGCTCTGCGCTGATTGGACAGCGCGCGGTCTACAACTTCCGGGGTTCTTGCAAACGGTCTAGTGTATTCCGATTCCTGACCTAGTCGCTTAGGGAGGGGGTGTACTGTCAATATTTTTGCTTTATGCCCCGTACCATGGCAGTGAATGTGTCCATGGACACAAGTAAATGCAAGTTATAGGTCAAATCTGTTGAGAGACAAGCATATTTTTCAAGGTTTAAAGCAGGGGTGGGCAAACGTTTTGAGTCGTGGGCCACAAAGGGTTCTAAAATTTGGTGGAAGGGTCGGACTAGGAGCAGATGGATGGAGTTTTTTGGTAATCCACCTCATAAGAGAAAAAAATAATATGGGATATGTATAAAACATATCCCATATTACTGAAATATCCCATAATTGAAAAATATTACAAAGCATTACAACAAAAAATGCTGTATGAAGTTTTGTTTTTTTTTTTGGTTTTGTTTTGTCAGTTTTTTGAGTAAAGCAAAGTATTAGCCAGTCTATCGGCACAATTATTTAATAACATTTCACTTGTGCCATTGAGTAATAGAACAACAGATATAGTATAACATTATAACTTGTACAAGCATAACATTTTGGACTTGTCAAAGTGCACAAACACAGACTTATGGCAAACTGCTGGCTGCTTTAATACCTACAACATGCTGTACAAACCATGTTATTGCATTTTATTGCTGCTTCAGTTTAAATTTCATTACTGTTCACTCTGACAAACTAACCACCCAACACTACACCCGGCTAAGCTAAACACAATGGAAAAATCTAAACCCAAGCTACAGTGACTTTCTATAATAAAAAAAAATCCACATTTGGTATTAGATAAAGATGAATGATGTAATAATGGCACAAATCTCCCCGTAGTGTTGATAAATGGCTGTGTGGTTTATGGTGTGAGGGCCAGCAGATGATGAGGGCCAGGCGTGTGGAGCAGAGGCAGAGGTGTCTAACAGGGGAGAGAGCCTGACGAGCGCATTAGTCATTTTTAATAGTGCTGCGTTTGTGTCACACAGCTCGGCACGAAATCAGAGTCTGGTGCCCCGTCGCCCCGTGATACAAGCTCCACTTATTTTTTACCAGTCTGCTCCTCTTCACCTCTGGTCCGGAGAGAGAAAAGGAATCTGCAGGTTATTTACACATGGGAATTTTGTGTACATTTAGATGATCAAAATATTTCTTAAAAGGGAATACGCAGCGAGTTACTAGGCCTACATTATATATATTCTTTTAGCAGAAAGGGAGAGCACACTTCTCACTCACCTGTGAGTCTCTGTCAAAGGTCTCAGTGCAGTTAAACAGGAGGATTGGTCAAGCAGGGTCAGTAGATCTGTGTAAGGGCAGTGTGAGGAGAGGATGTGACCCCAGGACAAAAGCGTCCCTCCTCTGTGCCCTGCAGCCCAGGCAACACAGCAGTGTCCAAGGGGACTAGGTGAACACAACAGGAAAAGCCTCACTCTTACTCCACTCTGGTACTACGATTAATAGTACCAGTAGTATATAGTAGTGTTAGTAGTTGTACACCTTTAAAGTGACATACATTTCAGTAGCCCAAAGCCCGGTGTACACTATGCAATTTTTGGCCCTTTTTGAGTAAATTTTTCACTCATGGGGCTGTTTTTGGGATCAGGCTGTGTTAATCGTGTGTCGTGCTTTGTGTACAGTCCCTGACAAAAGTCCTGTCGCTTATCCATTTTGTAGAAACAAAAGCTTATAACCTGACTTTAAATTAATTGATTGGTTTTAGAAATGTCTCATATGAAAACTAAAACCCTCCCAAATCATGCTCAATAAACTAAAATACATTTGCTTCACTGAAGAAAGATTGATCATTTAATGAACACAGAAAGGTCAGATTTTGGCAAGACAAAAGTTTAGTCGCCTTGTCATATGATGCACCCAATCCTAGATTACAGCCTCATCTGTGATCAGTTACTGATCAGTCACTTAGTGGGTGTGTATAAAAAGAACCCCAGCACACCAGACCTTCACATCAACTGCAACTTGACCTCTGACAACATGCCTAAGATCCACCCTGAGACCAAAGCGTTAATTATCAAGAGGCTGAAGACCAGATCCACTGCTGAGGTGAATGACACCTTCAATGTGTCTCAGCGTCAAGTACAAAGAATAAGAAAAAGATCTGAAATGACTGGAGATGTTTTTGACAAGCCCAGGTCCAGCAGACCCCGCAAGACAACTGCTCAGGAGGACCGTTTGTTGATTCGAAAATCCAAGGCCAGCCCCTTTTCCACTGCAGCAGACTCCACCAGGCCTGGTCACCTCAAGTCCCTGTGTCAACCACAACAGTTTGTAGAATTCTGTCTCGAAATGGCCTCCATGGTCAAATCACTGCACAGAAACCAGCACTAAACAAAAGGCAATTAAAAAACCGTGTGGCATTTGCCGAGGCCCACAGCCTGCTAAAAGGATGGACACTGGAAAAGGGGCAGAAGGTGGATTTCTCAGATGAATCCTCAGTTGAATTACATCACAGCCGCCGCAAATATTGCAGGAGACCTACTGGAGCCCATATGGATCCAAGATTCACCCAGAAAACAGTTAAGTTTGGTGGCAGAAAAATCCTGGTCTGGGGTTACATCCAGTATGGGGGGTGTGTGAGACATTTGCAGGGTGGAAGGCAATATCAATAGCCTAAAATATCAAGAAGTATTAGCTCCTCTTACATTCCCAAACATAAAAGGGGTCAAATTTTGCAGCAGGATGGTGCTCCATCACATACTTCTATCTCTACATCAAAGTTTCTCAAGGTGAAGAAGATCAAGGTGGTCCAGGACTGGCCAGCCCAGTCACCAGACATGAACATCATTGAGCATGTCTGGGGTAGAATGAAAGAGGAAGCATGGAAGACAAAACCAAAGAATCTTGATGAACTCTGGGAGGCATGTAAGACGCTTTTTCTTTGCTATTCCTGATGACTTCATCAACAAATTGTATGAATCATTGTCGAACCGCATGGATGCGTCCTTCAAGCTCATGGAAGTCATACAAGATATTAAATATGGATCTCACAGCACCACTACTTAATTCACTGATGTTATGCAACATATTTTTGTATTTGAAGTAAATTATTTGTTCAATTTTCTGTAGGCGACAAAACTTTTGTCTTGCCAAAATCTGACCTTTCTGTGTTCATTAAATGATCAATCTTTCTTCAGTGAAGCAAATGTATTTTAGTTTATTGAGCATGATTTGGGAGGGTTTTAGTTTTCATATGAGACATTTCTAAAACCAATCGATTAATTTAAAGTCAGGTTATAAGCTTTTGTTTCTACAAAATGGATAAGCGACAAGACTTTTGTCAGGGACTGTAGTATACATGGGGGCAGTGTTGGGAAGTAACGGATTACATGTACCGCCGTTACGTAATCAGAGTACAAATTATGAGTAACTGCATTCAGTTACAGTTACTGTTTCAATGAGTGGTAATTGGA